GTCTTAAATATAAGTATAGCTCACACTGATTTCAACATTTTGGATTTTTTTCTACAAGTTTGGTGATGTTTTTGTGACCAGAAATAGGCCACAGGAAGTGAAGTCGTTTCTAAGGTGAACATCATTTCACTTAAACTTGATGTTTCCAAGAACCTATCCTGATAACACTGAGGACTTATTGTCCACATGTCTGTCCCCAGCCAAGGTCCACAGGACATTCACAGTTTGCCTGCTTATCTGAGTCCACTGCAAGGTTTGGCTTGTTAATTCCAATTTCCCGGACCCTGCCCCCGGAGGGGCGGAGCAGCAAGCAGGTTACTAAATCATTCCCCACTTTCTCTCAAGTTCAGAAGCAGCCTGCCAGGCACTGGAGCCCAAATGAAGCCCCCAGGCCCTGCCCGTGTCGGTGCCATCGTGCTGGTCCTGCTCTCGCTGCTGGCTGTGCTCCAAACCACCCGTGCCCAAAAGGTAGCGGGTGCCTCAGGCACCTGTATGCGCATTGGAGTGTGAGTGGTACAAGCTGGTGAGTGAGAGCATGTGTGTGTGTGTGAGCGTGCAAGTGAGCACGGATCAGTGTGTATGCAAGAAAATGGTGCTGACCATCCACCAGGCATGTCCCAAGGGCTTGATGGACAGTCCCCCTCCCCCCACCCCTCTTAAGCTAGAAGGGGTGATCCTATTCCATGTTCCAGGTGAGGAATTACAGTCTAGCAAGTTGCCCCTGGAGGCCGGCAGTGGGGGAGGGTAGGAGTGGGGGTCATGAGCCCAGGTTGCCCTCTTCTCCCTGGCTGAACAGCCTCAAGGTAATGACGCTTCCTCTGTCTCCCTTTCTTCATCTGTGAAGCAGGGTAATAATAGACCCTATTCGGAGGTTTGTTGTGAAGATGAAACCTGTAACGCTATGAAGTGCTTTGTACAGTGCCTGGCACAGAGCAGACACTCACGTGTGTAACAAGCCGCTCAGCCAGGCACCCACTTCTGCTAGGCGGCGTGTGCAGGTGAACAGAGCTGGCATGTACACAAGTGTGTCATATGCAGGTTGGCAGATGTGCAAGGCTTCTCATGTGTGCACATGCGAACCTTAGACCTGGATCGGAGGGCAGGTGCCTGGGTCAGTGACCTGTGGGGACTGACCGTCTCTGCAGGGCCAGGGCCTGGGCTGCAGGACAGGGCAACTGGGGGGTGGGGCCCACAGCTGCAGGGAAAGGGGGCAAAGGAGAAGGCTCCCAGCTCTTAGGGACTGGACCCTGGTCATCTCCAGATTCTCGCAGCCCCTGGAGGCCCCTGTGGGGACTGGTAGGAGCGGTTCCTCCATTTCTGGTCACCAGAAATCAAAGGACTTGTTTGCTGCCCTGACACTGTTCAGAGCGAAGACCTTGAGCTTCCGGATCCCAACCGGGGGCCAGGAAAAGTGAGAGTCCCTCCCAGACACACTGGGGCTCAGGCTCCACTTTCCATCCCCTGTGTGTTGTCAGACTGGCCCCTGCCCCCTGGCACTGTAGGGTGGGGAATGGAGCACAGAGCTGCCTCTTATTTCAGAGAAAGATCCACACGTGAAATGCCTCACGGGGTTTTGCCTGAGGCATCCATCGCTGAGTCTGGGTAGGGCCAGGGCTTGGTTTGGGACCTAGGTCAAGGCCTGCTCTTGAAGAGCATGGCCCCAAGCAGGGCTGGCGTTGAAGCAGCTCCACCCCCCTCCTTCACTGCTCCAGAATGACATCGACATCTACAGCCTCACTGTGGACTCCAGGGTCTCCTCCCGGTTTGCCCACACGGTCATCACCAGCAGGGTGGTCAACAGAGCAGATTCCATGCAGGAGGCCACCTTCCAGATGGAGCTGCCCAAGAAAGCCTTCATCACCAACTTCTCCATGTAGGTGCCTTCCCGCCCCCTCCATGTCCCCTCCCCATCCAGTACTGCCATCCCCTCCCGGCGTGTCCCTCAGGGAGAGAGGACCTCCTCCTGACAACTCCATCCCTCCCTCCTTCTATCTCTTCCTCCATCCCCATCCCTCCCTACCTCCATATTCCATCTGTCCCTCCACTCCTCTTTCTATCTCTTCCTCCATCCCCATCCCTCCCACACTCCCTCCATATTGCATCTGTCCCTCCACCCCTCCCTCCTTCTATCTCTTCCTCTATTCTCCCTCCCCTCTTCCCTCCCTCCATATTCCATCTGTCCTCTATCCCTTCCTCCTTTCACCCCTCCCTCCACCCACCTCTGCATTCCTCCCTGCCCTGTGCTGGTGGGACGAGGGTTCAAAGCCTTTTAGCCCTGTGTCTCCCACTGGCCTGGGAGACTGTCATCTCCCTCCCCCTCAGTCTGCCCCACACATCTGGGCACACGGCTGGGTGCAAACGCACCTTAGAAAGCGCGTGCTGCTGGTCAACAGGTTCCTCGGGGACAGTCTATGAGATGGAGGGGGCAATTGGAATGTGGGGCCAGGGTGGAAGGGAGAAGAGAGGCCAGGGCTGAGCTCAGCCCTGTCTCCACTACAACCTTCCTTTCCTGTCCGTTCAGTAAAACGAATGTTCATTTCTACTGTGCATGCCTCGGGGTAGATGGAGGCCTGGCACACCTTGCAGCGGCTGCCCGCCCTTACCCCGGGCCCTGCACAGTCTTATACACAGTAGGTGCATAATAAATGGGTGAGGTCTGGTCCAGGTAGGAGTCACTCTATCAGGAGCCACAGCAAGTCCCAGAGAGGCTCCCTGGAGGAGGTGGGATTACAGAGAGGCTCCTCCCTACCAGACTCTTGACAGCACCCACCCTCCTGCCCCAGGATCATCGACGGTGTGACGTACCCAGGGAACATCAAGCAGAAGGATGCAGCCCAGAAGCAGTACAGTGCGGCCGTGGCCAGGGGGGAGAGCGCTGGCCTGGTCAAGTGAGCCTAAGGGGGTGCGGGAGACCCCAGTGGGGGTGGGGCAGAAGTTGCCCCTGCCTGTAGTTCTGCTCCTGCCTTCCCTGTCA